AGGAAACTGTTTGCACATGTGAGTAAGAAAAACACAAACATCGTCAGCAAACCCGTGCGTCGGCTGGATATGAACTACCCTTCTACGTACAATTTGTTTCTGTGAAAGGTAGAATGCACATGTTTGTCTGACTTGAAGGCAATAGATATCTTTGATATATAATCCACACTCGCCCAGAGGCGGTATAACAAGCAAATCGACGAAGGAATATTAGTGGTAAGAGATAATCAATCCACCATTTGATCGATTTTTGAATATGTTACGCATACATGCACAGATGAACATTGTGGATGTATGTATCCTTATCTCTCGGCACGTGTGATCAGGAAATTTTTCAACGGGATAAAGAACTATCGAAATTCGTGCAGATCACACAATGCATTTGAAATGAAAAATTTAGCAATCGTTAACAGAGAAATTGTCTACAATAGGGATAGTTGAGCATCTATAAATGCGATTATAAAGCTTGTTCACCAAAATTGTGGAGACAATTTTGACTGATGTGCATCATTACATATTACTGCATGGATTAAACTGAAAGGGTAACGATGCTACTACCCTCGATGCCTCAATAACATCAAAAAATATCGACGTTATGCTGAATCCAGGATTTGAAATGAAATAGTCAGACTTAACTAACTAAATTCGGCATATTCCGGAACAATGTTATTGTGAATTTTGCACCGGTGGTTTTCAAGTGATCATTGTTATCAATCGAAATTAGTGTAAAAACAATCGATGTTTCTTTGGACAACTGGTAACAGGAGTTGTACTTTTATTTGCATAGTTCCTTAATTGGTAGTCTGCAAAATTGTTGGAAAGAATCAGTGGAGCTCATGTTATGTTGCTTGGTCTTTTCGTATGTACTTTTCGTTTGTTGTAAGCTCCACATCCTTAGTTGGCCTCGTGTAATTTTCATTGTGTTTACTCACACTGCTTCTGATACACCCGCCCAGGCCTGTCCCTCATCCCACCCCCACCTTGTGCTTAGGTTCTATCGATACAATTTGCCTCATTTTCTGAACCAATGCTTTTGTGTTCCAGATGGCAAATTTATCACTTTTGGCACATCCTACCTAATCCGTCCACGTTTATTGAACCTTGTAAACATTGAGCTGAATGTTATGCTTACGAATTATTGTAGCTGTTGAAGCACGCACTTATCACGAATTACGAATCACGTATCAGAAATCACGGAAACAATGTAAGCACTCGATTACACTGGAACTTGCACTACGGTATCCCACATAACTGAAACTCAAGGAAAAGACCACGAGAGTAGCAGTTCATTTATTGGAAGAAATCGTGGGGTTTAAATAATATGAACCAAAGAAGTCCAGGCATCTACGAATCGCGTGCCCGTAATCCTGGCGTCATACAGCTTCTGTCTGCGCCGTACAGTTTCTGATTGGTCGGTATAATCGGCCTATGGTTCGTAGTCTAGAAGCTGTAACGATTAGGCGCTTTGCTGGCGTCACCTGGGAGGCTTGACTCATCACTGTTTTGGTTTATGTCCTCCCGTAAGCTAGGATCACCACATTAACCCTGGCTTCCGCAAATATTCGGATGTATCCTTATTAACCTGCATACGACTGCTTAAATTTACTTTCCTTCAGAACTAACCAATATTAACTTCCACTTTCCAGTTTTCCTGGACCTTGTAGAAAGGTAATTGTTCTCGATAGGCTGGTGAATGCAGTTTACTTTACTGAACTCCTTATATTTTCCAGTAAGAACTGGAATCTTGTGAACGTTTCATTAATAAATAATTTTGTTACCACTAGTGATTATCCATTAAAATTGTCTGTTTTTCCAACAGCCAGGTTTTCCATCCCTTTTATCAAGCTACTCCGTTGTGATGAAGAGAATATCTAAAAGACTGCCTGACTGTTGCGATCAAAATCTATCATTTTGCTGTTGTACAATAATTCGGCTCCCTCTCATCGCCTTCATCAAGCTATCGGGGAACAGACTCACTTACACCGGAAGAGGGTTCGCAGGCATTGATGGATTCCAAGACCAACAAGGCTCCTTGTCCCTGTTTAATGTCACACTCCAAGTTGAAAACATTTCTCGAACAACTTGTGAAAATTGTTGCTACATAGTTCCGGGAAACGATTAGTTAATATAGGAGGTCAGTATGCGCAAAACCCCTTCACCAGAATGGTCCCTCAAAGTGTCACTTCATTGCTAGCATCTGTGTTCTCCCACACGTTTTGGAAAACGTTCTGGGGTATTGAACGACACCCCATTGTCACCCACACGATTCCCTCCGGTTCGCCTACAAACCAAGTCAATTCGCATTTGATGCAATCACTCAAAACAAGCATTCTTTTTGTACGAGAGTGCACGTACTATTCGGTTGAATTTCTCTATCAAGTAAACGTGTTCCCTCGATCGCGGAATGCTTGCTTTTATTCAATTTCTTTCGGACATTGATTTCTGACCTGGAAATTCAAAGTTTTTATTAACTGTCTATCCTGGTTCACCTAATTTACTGACAGCTTGATCCTAGGCCCTTCGCCTACCATGACTACAAGAAGTGTTCATGTTATTTCAGTCACTGTCGGATTCTACATCGACAAGGAGAGGAGAACAATGTTATGTGAACATGGAGGGTGCTGATAGAGTTCAAATCAGTTTAGAGTGATACTTCATCAAGACCCACTGATAAAATGGTTTTCATTATAAACCAATCCCTGGATTTGTATTCCGTTTCAGAATTGGGGAAACATTTACTACAGCGCGCTATCAAAAATTTAGTTGTCACAATACAAAAGTAATGAGTATTGGAATTCGGGACTTGGTAACTAGGAGCAATTAAATTGAAAGTATTGTTTACAAAGCTAATTAACAAAACATTGAGTCTCACGCGTAAATAAATACCCGACTGCGAAAGATCTAACTTTTGACAATCTTCAATGCACACTGGATCATTGGCCGTATGTTATGTGTGCTGTACGTGCAGCTTTCATAAGGGCCTGGTTAGCATGAACTAACAATTTAGTCAGATCAAACTGAGACCTTCGTGATGCACCGTAATATAAACGGTTGCGACCAGAAATATAGACCAACCATATATTGCTATACTTTTAACGATAACACAAATCGGAAAACAAGCTCGTTTTCAGCGTATCTTAATCATGCCATTACAATGCAATAAATATGACATGTAGCAAAGAAGGATTTACAAGAAAAAACGGAAAGTAATCAAAGTATTTCATTTCATTTGTTTCATAATTGGTCCCAAATCATCACTTGCTTCGATATTTCCATAGTTTTGTTTTGTTTAGATAAGTTTTTAATTCCAGAATAAACCTATTGTAACATCAGAACATAAGTCCGAAGGCGAACAATTGTCATTGAATGATTCAAAATCATACCTGTACATATCATATAAGGGTTTGTTGCTAGTGGGGATTCATTTTCAAACTGGATCTCCCCATCCCAAATGATCGTTCGACCCAGCGTGAAAATTTGTCCCGACTGATAACAAACCCTTATATGATCTGTACAGGTAAGTTTTATTTGATAACGTCGACTGAGAATGCAACTGATGGCGAACGCGCAAATTGAAATATTTTAAGTGGCCTTTCTATGCCTAAATCTTTTAGTTATTATTATTAATTTGTTATATCTTCAATTCTAACGTGCAGTGTTGATGTCGTGAAAAATTAGGATCAAAATAACGCAAGGATGCCGCTATGGAGCTGTTGGAGGGAAGCGTTTGAATAGAATAAAAAATGAATAAGAAATGATCCAATTAAGATAATCCACTCAATGATTCAATTTTGCAAACTTACACATTGTTTTCAGTAAATGAACATGATCGGTTGCTCAAAACTCAAAGAGAATGCAGGTGTTCCAACAGTAATCATCTGGATCGGTTGTAAAAGTCAGATAAAAAGGTAGGGGAGGGGGGACGTTAAACTTTGGTTAATGGTGATCATAATAAACACAGGGCAGCTGTTTCAGATTGGATGCACTTCATAAAGGCTATCATTATCAGCCTTTTACTTTTATGAAATATGTGTAGTGATATTCTCTTATACGCTCAACTGTTGAACGTATTTTTATTATCTTTAGTCACACCCAGAATGGTACGTGGAAACCTCAAACTGGGGCGGTAAACTTAATTGAAGTGATCCGAAGTAGGTGCGCCATCTGCGAGTTTGGGGAAATAAAATCTCGTATGTATATGTTCTGATCATCTGACTGGCATACTCACGATGCCCGCATAAGTTTTACGGGGATGGGGATCAAATGAATCACGTGATGATCGATCGATCTTATTTGCTGTTTTAAAAGGCTT